CTCTGTGCTGAGATCCCAAGCAAAATTTTGTATGATTTTGTTACAGGGAGAAATTTTGACAAATTCCTTATATATATATATGGATTACATTTTTTAAAAAGGTAAGGGATTATGCACTTTACCAAAACATTCACAGTGGGACTGTTTTAGGTGGTAAACACTTCCTCTGTGTTTGATATATGTTCTGAAGTTCAAGAACTAAACATTTTAGGAAAACTATTGCATCCAGCAGAGCACCATGATACGGTGTCATAGGGCACTGAACCCCTAAAGGGACCTCAAAGCTTATCTAGTGAAATACTTAATGTTACAAGAAAGAAATCAAAACATTGAGAAAACATGATTTGTACATGCTTACACATACTGTATGCCATGCTAGGATGAAGAAAGAATGGCAGTGCTAGTATCAGACACAAGGGGATCAGGCCATGTAGGTATCTTGTCACCACTGCAGAGATGACCTAGTATCCTGCTGCTTGACATGTAGAATAAAAGCTTTGGAGAGAAAGGTGGGGATGCCAAGATCCTTCTAATTCTATGATTCTCTGATTCTGTAAAATAGAAAAGCAAATTATCTTCAGAAGAAATGCTACAAGATGTCCATCAGAGCAATACAGCCACCTTAGCCATCTTCTAATGTGGGATATACTCAGCTCCCTTCATCTCCATTCTAATTTATCTGTTATCCAATTTACCTTAAGAAGAAAGCATCAAAGAGAGAGGCTAGAGAAGTGGAGACCAAAGCCTTGGAGTGCAGGCTCCCCACCCTCCTGTGTTAAGTGTTGGAGGGGGAATGTTTGCAAAGAACTCAAAGGCCAAGTTCACAGAGAGACAGGACATGAATTCAGGCAGCATCAGGAAAGATACATGATGCAGAAGTGCTGGGTGGTGGTCACCAAGGGCAAAAATACAGCAAGGACTGAACACAAATGAGACAGGCCATGATACTAAGTAATGCAGAGGACGCTGATGGCATTGAGGGCGGTGTCTGTCATGGACATAGGAAGACGGCTGGTCTGCCCTCATGGTAGGTCAGGAAAAGAGGGTTGTTGATAACAAGCAAGTGGAATCAGATGTAGACTACGTGATTGACAAGCTGGATAGTGTAAGAAGAAGGAAAACAGGGCAGTAGCCTGAGCTGGCAGTACAGATCGATGGAGACAATCTTCATTTCTGCGTGTGGGCACAGAAGAACGCGTTGGTAGAGTAGGAAGTGGCACTCCCGTCAGTCACAGCGGCAACATGTGCTCACAGAGCTCCTCCCCGTGCCTCGCTGGGAACAGCACCTGCTCTCGGGGACGACTGTTCTGAAGAAGGAGACACAACTCTACCTCCCTCTCAGTTTGAGCTCCCACGGCCCTGTGACACCCCACCTGTGACATCCCAGAGCTGTTATGTAGGCGAGAACAATGAGCACTGTCAAATCGGTCATGAGAATAATGGGATCAAAGAAATAGTTGAAAGTTTTAGGCTTTTTCTCATATTCTAGGAAAACCATGTGAAGTTAAATATCTTAAGAGAACACTTCAAATTGGGGCAGAAGAAAGTAACAGGGTACATTAAATGTATAGGTGGAGTCAAGCTACTTAAAAAATTAAAGCTGCTGCATCCCCAGGAGTGATGAGCAGGACGGTAGCATCAGGCGGATGGGAACTCAGGACCCAGAGAAAGAGGAGGGGCTGGTGGCTGAAGGAAGGCGGGATGATGAAACTGGTCCTGTCGGGCTGATGGATACCACGCGCGGTTCTTGCTCAGTCCCAGTTTGGGCCAATTTGCTGTTTTAAGATCCTGTTGTCATTGCATTTGTGTCATTAGGAAACCATGTGTCTGCAGAAATGAAGAATATCGGAACAGGCTGATGTGACCTCCGCAAGACTACCGACCTGAGAGTGCCCCAGGCCCCCAGGATCCTTTACAAAATCAAAATGCAGCGCTCCAGCAGGGGTGTGACAAAGTTCAGGATCTGAACATTAGTTACAGTTAATACCTATTGGAAGTTACTAGATGCCATTAAAAGTCACTAGCAGCAGCATTTCCTTTAAGAGTCGACCTATTTTTAAACCTACAAAATGAATTTTAAATCAAAGAGCTGTTGGTTGCCCCAGTAAATAGTTTTATATTGAAATAAATTTAAGATTGATGAGGGAACTCTCTTTCAAAGTTGAATTTCACATCCTAGAACTGACCCACCCCAAACAGGCTTTTCTGTGGTGCTACACGGGGAAGAAGCCCCTTTTTGGTGTTGTGTGCGCAGGTAGGCAGTACATTTAGCTCCTTGGTTATCTGCCATGTAACCTGGCATTTGCTTTATCTTGGCTACACCTTGCGACTACCTTAAGTTTTATTTCAGGGAGTTACCTGTTCTCAGTATTAAGGTATGTGTGTGTACTTATATACAAAGGTCAGGAACTACATTTTATGTCCCTCTTCCTGGATGGAAGGACAAGAGGCACAAAGCCCATTGGAGTTTAAAGTGATGTCACTTACCATCATCTCAGTGACCAAGACGGGAAACCTGTTTCTGTACGATGGAACAGACTGCCCTGACTGACAGGCCCCAGAAGACCAACAAAGCCGCCAGCCTTAGTGTTGGGGCCTAAGTGCCGGATTCCTTGTGTGCTAATGCAGAGAAGGATTCAGCACCCCAGAGAGCTCCCACCAAAGCACTGGGGAGCTCCCCAACAGCTGAAGTATGGGTTTTAAATGCTTGAGCCAATACATAGAATACGCAATGCATTCCTAATTTAGTTGTATATCTCCAGGTTTAAATTTGGGTAACAAAATAATTATTTGAGATTCTTTAGTCTTGACAAGAGATGGAATCAGAAAGGCAGTTTTATATTGACATCTTCCTTTAACTAGAACCTCTTATCTTAAGCAATATGCAGGCGCTGTTCCTGAAGGAAGTCGCTTAGTATGTACAATGTGTTTCGGTACATCGTTAGACATAACTGTTATGCCTGAGAAAACTTTCCTGAGAAAAGCATGTGTTAAGTGTTTTTAAGAAATGGATGCTACATTTAGCCCTATATAATTGGTTTAATTATACATTTTAACATATATATATGTTTATATGTGTTTCATAAAGATATTATATACACATACTCTATAAATACACATAGGCACCACACACACACTTCTGTATTTTCTAAGGGAAACATTTGATCAGGACTTGATGAATTTTTTAGATACACTGCTTAGAGCCATGTCAGAAATAACCTGCAAATGTTAAAATCCCTAATTTGTTCTTCGGTTCAACCCTTTTGCTAGTCTGAGAAACAGTTCAACACTCAAACTGAAAAGAAGGAAATGCATAAATACATCTTAGCTCCAAACTAAAATTTTAAAAAAAGGATGGGTGAAGAGCCTGTGAAACAAAATCCAGAAACTTGGCCTTTCCTTTCTCCTAGCGACACCTAGAGCCTGTTAGGAAGAGACTGCACATTGTTTTCATTGCAAGTATAACACAATCCTAGTTTAAAGTCAGATTTAAGGCAAAAAGTGCATCATTTCCATCCGCATTGCAGCTCAACTGTCTCCATCAAGATTTTCAGTAGTTTAATCCTCCAGAATTTTTCACCATCCCCAATGAAACCCCTCCTCAAAGATTTGAGTTCTTGGAACCAGATGCCTTAAGAATTCGTGCATTTCCCTGAGGACCTGACCCACTGAAGGGAGGGACATCTCTCTATGTAACCAGGGGAATCTGGAAATGGTCCAAATGAAAATAAGAAAATCTCACATAAGATCTGATACGGATGTATGGGGGAGTGTGTGTTCGTGTGCTCACACTTGACAAGCCCCATCTCCCACAAACTTTTGCCCTATTACAGTCTTCATACCCTCCATTCATAAAACAGAACAACTAGTAACAACAAAATCCCAGTGACTGTTGTGGAATTGTCCCTGTGAAAGCAGCCAAGCCCCCTCCCCACCATAGAAGAAATACCAAGTGGTAAAGCAGGGTGACTCAAGGCAGGAAGGTTTAATGACCGCAAGCTCCTGTGCAGGGATGGGAGCTGCCCGGGGTGTGTCAGGGTAGGCTCTCGGGGTACCTGTGCCCCCTGTCCCCAGATGGGAAATCCCTGAAAGGCACACGCAGTGGCTTCTACAGCCCAGCACACCCTGCCTCTCTCCAGGGCATACACCCGCCAAGCCGGCCCGGCCTGCCTGCCTGAGAGCTTGTCTGGGATTTTCCTCTTGGCCCTGGGAAGAGAAGGGCTCGAAAACAGCAGTTTCCTCTCTTCCTGGCTCTCACTGGCCCCCTGGAAGCTGGAAAGAATCAACAGGGATGGTTGAAATCCATCTACACAGCCTGCTGGTGTCCTAACTGAGACGCCAGTTACTAAGATGATATGCAAATCCAACCTTTGGAACCCAGGGTTCTTGCCCAGAGAGGAGCAGGAAACGTGCTCCCGGAGAAGTTTTGAGCTGACCCGGTCTAAGGCAGAGCGGCTCGCCCAAGGCTGGCGTGGGAGGCAGGCACCACCTGACTCCCATAGGCAAGAATTGTGCTGAGCCCTGGGGCCAGGAGGCTGGGCCTCAGATACTAGTGCCCTCCTCCCCCCACCAAAGAACGTCACCGCTACCACCCTTACCAGCATGGGTGGTGAGGAGACAGGAGAGGCGGGGGCATGTGGGTGAAGGGACAGCATGGAGGTGAGGAGGGCATGGCTGGATTCCAGGGGCAGGTGGAGGGCCTGGGGCTTCATGTTCCGCAGTCTTAACGCAGAAAAGAAAATTAAAATCAACTTGGAAGCACAGGCAGAACGAATTCTCTCCCTAGGCACCATCGCGCCGTGGGGTCGGCGGCGCCCGCACACCCCGCGGCGCGGCTCTCCGGGCCCCCCAGCTCCCGGCCGCCGCCGCTGCAGACAGAGTCGCTTGGGGCGGCGGGGAGGGGAGGCGGGAGGGCCGCCCCAGGCCCTCGGGGTGCGGGAGGCGCGTCCCCGCCGAGAGCCGGGCCCCGCGCCGCCCCCCACCCACCCAGGTGCTCTTACGTCCTCGTCGTCACAGTCGCTCCGCGCCTGGTACTGGAACCGGGGCCGGCCGCCCGCGCCGCCGCCGCCGCGCTCCCGGGGCACCGCCGAGGGCGCCTGGGCTCCGGGGGGCTTGGGCGCCGCGCCGTCCTCCTCCGGCCCCTGGCCGCCCAGGAGGCGGCTCGCCTCCGGGGGCGCCGGGAAGGACCGCGAGGTGTTGATCTTGCCCGTGAAGCGCTGGTAGAGCGAAGCCATCGGTGTCCGCGCCCGCCGGCACCCTCCCTGCGGGCTCCGCTCCCGCCGCTCCGGGGAGGACAGGCAGCCGCCGCCGCACACGGGCGGCGGGCAGCGCGGCCGCGTCTCCGCGCCGCTCGAGGGGCCGCCGGGCGGCCGCCGGCCAGCCGCCCGCTCCTCCCGCCGCACACGGGCGGCGCGGGGGTCGCGGGCGTGCCCTCTGCTCCTCGGCTTTCCAACTCCCCCCACGGCCACGCGCGGCCTGATCAGACCGGCGGAGGCAGAAACCCAAATAACAGAAAGGAGGGAAATGCCTAGGCCGGGGATGTGGCACCACCTAGAGCCCGGCGACCATGCAGAGCGGAGCTCCGCGCGCCCCCGCCCGGGCCGGCGCTCCTCCCTCCCGGGCCGGCGCTCCTCCCCGGCGCCCTGCGAGGCCCCCGCGCGGCCCCCCGGCTGCCCCTCCTGACTTGCCGAGCCGCCGCCAGGCCCCCGCGGGCCGCGCGGAGGGGCGCGGGCTCCCCAGGAGCCTCCTTCCTTCCCCCCCCGAGATGCCCGGGGAGCACAGGCGCGCCTGCCCTCGGCGGCCCGGGGAGAAGGGAAGAGGGAGGGCAAGGTCACGCAGAGCCAGCGAGGGCAGGCCAGGGGGGCCCAGAGCCACGCAGCCAAGGGCGCCCCCCGCACACACATCCCAGCGGCCTGAGGCTCGCAGGCTCTGTTTTCATTTTCGGTGAACGCGGGCAGGGCTGCGGCTTTCGGGGCGCCCGCAACTTTCCGGCCGTGCCCCGCCCGCGCCCCCGGCCGAGAGGAGGCGAGCGGGGACCCGGCGAAGCGCGCGGTCTGGCGCCCCGACTCGCCTGCTGCACTGAAACGTGCTCCAGCGCCCCTGTGCGGGGGCCTCGGCGCCGCTCCGCTCCGGCCCGCAGGCTGCCCTCAGCCCGGCCTCTCCTGGGGGGCGCCCTCCCTCCGGGAATGCGCGCCTCCGTCCTTCCCGGGACCCGGGGCGCTCCTCCGTCGCGTCCCCACGGCCTCCTGGCGCGGCGTCTTCCCTCCCGTTTGCCGCCTTTCCGGCCGGGACGATCTGTGCCATCCTGAGTGCCAGCCCGGCCAGGGACCTGAAACTCCCGAGAGGACAGGTGGAGGGCTCGCAGACACTGTGCTGCGCCCTCCATGCCAGGTCACGGTGGGCATCGTCACCTGCACCTTCTCCCGGGACTCAGCAGTGCTCCCTGGGCCATGCAGGTTTCCAGGACTAACTTAGGAAACAGGTTGGCAAAGAAACAGGCAAGGCCAGGCTGCTCAGCAGGCCACACGGTGGGCGCCGCAGCCTTTCTTGGGTCTGAATCCAAGGCATTGTCCTGGCACCACGGTCCAAGCCCAGAAATCCCAGGGAGACCCGCGGCCAGGTCCTGAAATTGCCTCCTGCCTGTGTCCCTAACCTCGAGGGCGGAACTGGACGCTGGTGAATGAATCTCCCGAGCGAGCACCGTCCAGTCCTTCCCACGCTCTTCCCAAGCTCTCAACCTGGTGGGTAGTCTTGTTTCAATTCAAACTAATACTATATCCATCCTGTTTAATCCAAGTGGTTTCCCTCCATCATGAGAAAAAGTGTAATCATTAGAGTGTTTAAAGGCACATTTCCTTTACCGCCAACTATGAAAACAGGCAAAGCCATTACCCCAATAGCGAGAGGCTCCAGCCCAGCAAGAGGCCTACGGCGTGAGCAGGTGTCCACAGCAGGTCCGGGGGCACCCAGAGCTTCAGCAGCCCGGCTGCACTTTGAAGATAGAGGCAACCATACCAGAGCCATGAAACTAAACTCTAAAAGTCATCACATTTAGATAAATAGGCACCCTTGCTGTCATCCCCCGCCCCCGCCCCCACCCCAGCTGCGCCTTTGACAGAGGGAAGCTGCCTTTTTGAACAGCGACTTGAAAGCAATGCTCCTGGGCTCTGCTGCAGCATGGAGAGCCTGACATTTCACTAAATGCAGACACAGCTAGAGTCTTACTTACCTAATATACAGACATACATAAAATACACATGCATATATTGAGACAAACTGTCAGAAGAAGCACTATAAATGTGTTTCTTACACTAATACACCTTACACTTTACATGGACAGTGTATATATCATAAGCAATATATCATATGAATGTCAAACAGATGTATGCATAGCAGCAATACTGGGTCTTAAGTGAGCTTAAAGCAGGCATATCTGTCCCTCACTTTTAAAAAATGATATTCTCAAGTAAGCTTGTAGGTATGCAAATTACAACTTGGTCCAAGTTAAAAAGCCTGGGTTTTTCAGACAATATAATAAGCAAATCTTATTTTAAATTATTTATAAAATGAAAACCTATAAAACTCATACACAGCTGGAGGAAGAATTGAGGTACAGTTGAGATGCTGGTCGGGAAGACAAAGTGTAAAAGGAGACAGAACAGCAGAGAGCAGGGTGTGAAGGGCCAGGTTTCTCAGGCACAATCTAGGCTGAGGGTGCATTACCTAGCTTCAAACAAATCTGGCTCATTTCCTCCACCTTGCATGTTGAACAGATTTTAAAGAGTGTTTTAGACTTTGAGCGTGAGTGTGGGCATGCTTGCGTGAGCATGCGTGCACTCACACATCTAAATTTGTCTTAAACATCGATACAGAAACTGCAGCATATCTTTAGATAAACTGTCAGGATTCTTAAGTGCCAAATACAAAAGAGCAGCCTGGTTAATATTTTTAGGATGAGTGAAGTGACCAATTGCAGAGAATTACAGCCTATAATATTTTAAGTTTATGATACATAATTACATCTCTTATTGCTTTCAATTACCTTTTTAGAACCCCATCCCCTGAAAAAGAAAAAGCTCATCTGAAGAGGAGCAACACTTCTCACTGGGCATTTAAATACAAGTGTAGCATTTACAAAGGAAACATGTCAGTAACGCCCTCTGCTCACCTGTCATTGACTATCTGGAATATGCTGTGTTGCAGATCTCCATTCCTGCTTATTGGATAAGTATGGGAAACTATTTTTGAAAATATGGCATGGGTTATTTCATATTAAGATTTTAATTCCTCAGTACTGCTTAAAACCATGTCCACTGGCCCATTTTTCCATCTGGTTTCATATGCTTTTTCTTCCCTACTTATTAAGTAAAGGTGTGAGTGTGTGTTTATTTTCCCCAGAGCCAATTTACAAAACAAATATGATAAATCATTGGAATTAGGCAGACGCTGCAAAATATGGTAGCTAGCCATTTTAAAAATGACAATGAAGGGAACTTTTTGGTCTACATGCAAGCTAAGCACTGTAAAAATACAAAAAGTATACTGAGTTCAGCAGTCTTGAGCAAGGTTTTTATTAGCTAAGAGGTTTTCTTTTTTCTAGGCAAGAATTGTATCCTATAGTTTACTTCCCCTTTCTCTGTGAGGAAAAATAGGAGGGCAGAACTGTATTTAAGATTTGCATTCTTTTCTAAACACTGATATTTGGAGAAATTAAATGGCCAACTTAACACATTCTGATGGAAGGATTTCCCTAAAACACCAGGCATCAGAGTCCTTTAAATATTATCACCTTGTACTCATACAAATGGGGGAAAATAAGGCAAATAATTGGGTAGCTTGAGAAAATAGTGTTCAATACATAAATACAAGGCATATTCTCAACAATCTATCTCCATCTATTTCTTCTTTAAAAAAAATTATTTTTGCAAGATGGCTACTTATAAGAGTCTCGGTTGAATGATTCCTTTCCAAACTTTCCAAATAGGAAATGCCCAGTATGAGAAAAAGGAACTGCTGTTCCTGGCTTTTAAAGAAACCCAAAATTAAGATACCAGTTGAGTTGATTTTGATCTCTTCAAACTGATACTTAAAGATTCACATGTTTTAAGGAAAAGCATTTTTTTAACCCAACTAAAGGTTCTAAAATTAATAAAGTTAAACGTTAATTTCCCAATAGCACATTCCTCCGCATTTTAGTACAGCCGATATGCAACCATGTGGTCCGTATACATTGTTCAAGCATGGCTTCAACTAACTTCCCCACGAGCCCCCCGACTGTCTGCCCCAGAACACGCACACAAGCACATGCCATTTATCTACACAAGCGGTAAAGTCAATTGCCAAGTAAATAAAACGACCATTGATTGATTCAACTAAACGGCTGGTGTCAACTGAGAGCAAATATTTCCCTCCTGGCGCGGTGGGCAGCCCTCCCCCCGGCAGCGCTCCCCCTAGGGGCTCCCCCTAGGGGCTCTGCCCTCCCTCTTCGCGTGTGCCCACAGGCCCTCCTCCTTTCTGCCCTCTCTCTCCCTTGTCTTCATTCTTGCATTGCTCTCAATCAATATCCACAGGCCATATTTTTTTTTCTAAAAATTCTTGGGTGCTCTCTGCATACTTACAAAACCTCACATTTTACTACCAGTGTTGCCTCAGAAATTATCCAAATAATCACTTTACCTCCTAGAGGAGGCAGCGACTTGTCCTTTCACGGTCTCTCATTCTATAGTAATAGCTTCTGCAATGCTTCCCAAGGCTCTTAAGATTTTTAGACCATGAGAAGGAGAGGAGTCTGTGGTTTCTGCTTGTCCCTGGCAATCATTTGAACATAACCATGTCATTATCTGAACTGTCCTAATTCATATATCAGCATGATTATATCAAAAGAGAAGTGACTTCTGCTCCGAAATGGCCCGTGAGCTCCCTGCCCTTTCAAAGCGTGCCCTTCCCTGCGTCCAGCGAATTAACTCTCCTTCCCTTTAATGTTAAAGTGACATACATGAGCCTCAGCAATGCAGTGCTTCCATTTTTTTAACCTAGGAGGTGACGGCTGTGCTCTGGAAGCAGAGAAAGCTTTTATGTGCTCTCTCTGACTGATGGATGGCCTCTGTGACCCATGGATGGCAGCATTTTGAAGGACCAGGGCTGGGACGGCACTACAGCTAAATGCTGCAAGCTAGGCAGTACAGGGCTCAAACCCTCACCTGAGTTTTTTCATTTGGTTTGCTTTTTCCTTTTGCTGCATGTCACCCAAGGGGATTCTGGGCTTTCAGTGGAAAGTAACAATAGATTAGAAAAGGACAGCAAAGAGAAGCACCATTCACACATAGGCC